GGTATGTGGTGCTGGGGGATTGAACTGCGGTCCCTGATGCTTTTGCTAAGCTTGTTCTAAGTAGGTGCTTTAGACCACTGAGCCATCTCTCCAGCCCCAAGATGTCAATCTTGATTCTTTTCCTAGAGTCCTGCTTCTTGATACTGCATTTGGAGACCACGAAAGCTGGGATTTCTAAGTTCTGTGACCAAGAATAAATCATCTGCCTCTTTTGACCTGAGTTTTCTTTTATAAAATGACAGTGAGTTGGGTATGGTGGTACATGCCTGCCTGAATACCCACCCAACACTCAAAGTTAAAGGAGAAAGGTTTGCTGTAGCTTACGGTTTGCACTCAGAGCTGGCTGCCTCCAAGGCAGGGTGGCTGGCAGAGGAGCAACAGCTCATGAGGGGCAGCAAAGCGGCAAGGGAGCCCAGCACCCCTCTTTCTGTTCCTTATATTCTATCCAAGTTGCATGTCCTTTGGGCAAGAAGGACTCACCCAGGGAGGGCCTTTCCATTATCCACTCCCAGAGCTACACCAAACCAGCCAGCGAACTAATTTAGTAGCCACCCATTCTTTTTTTTCCTGTATTTTAGGGTGGGGAAATGGCTCGGTAGACTAAGGGCTTGCCTGTATTTTAGGGAAGGGTCTACAGGGTGTTCAGGGTCTCACTACTAGATCCGACTCACAGTAATCCACCTGTTTACAGCCTCCACGCCCAGTTTTAATTGCCCTCTCAGAGTGCACTGGGGGTGGGGCAGGCACATCAAGATAAATATTAAGTGGGGGAAAAAAGTGTGGGCGGGGGTAGCCCAGAGGTAGAGCATTTGAGGAAGGCCTAGGTTCAATTCCCAGCACCACACATTCATAAACAAAAAAATAAATAAATAAAAAAGCAAATTAAGAGTATATATACAGGGGGCCGGGGAGATGGCTCAGTGGAATAAGTGCTTGCCTGGCAAGTGCAAGGGCCTGAGTTCAATCCCGGGTTCCACCAAAAAAAAAAAAAAAAGAGTATATATACAGCCAGATGTGGTAATCCCAGCACCTGGGAAGCTGAGGCAGGAGGACTGCTGCAAGTTCAAGGCCAGCATGGGCTACATAGTGACCAGCCTGGATCACCCAGTTGAGACCCTATCTAAAAAAATAGTATTTACCATCTGTTAAATTATATCATCAGGGCTGGTGAGATGGCTCAGTGGTCTAAGGCACCTACTTAGAACAACAAACTTAGCAAAGCACAGGGACCGCGGTTCAATCCCCCAGCACCACATGCCAGCCAGCCCCACCCCAGGTGGGCTGAGCTGGCCACACACACACACACACAAAATTATATTATTTGTGTAAGAAATATCTGTATAAATATGCTTATTTTTACAAAAAAGAAATACCGAAAATATAATTATAGTGAAGTTGGTTATCTATAGAAAAATAACAATGAGATGGAATAAAGAATAAGAATTCTTGGAGCATACTTTCTTTTAATGATAATTTTAGCTTTTGGAACTTTGATGTTTTTCATATTTAAACATAAAGGGGCTAGGGAATAGTGTAGTGTAAAGCACTTGTCTACCCCATCCCAACGCTGTGCATTCAGTCACTCCTCCCCCCCACCAAAATAAGGTTAAAATTCTATTTTCCAATTGGGTGTGCTGTCACCCATCTATAACCCCAGCACTGGGGTGGGGGAGATGGCTCAGTAGAATAAGTGCTTCTCTGGCAAGCGCAAGGGACTGAGTTCAATCCCTGGTTCTGCTCCCCCCCCCAAAAAAAAAAGATTCCCTATAACCCCAGCACTTTGGAAGCTGAGGCAGGAAGACTGCAGGTTCAAGACCAGCCTGGCTCCATAATGTGTTTAAGTCCAGCCTGGCTAATAAGACTCTTGACTGGAAAAAACAAGCCAGGGATATAGCTCAGTGGCACAGCACCTGCCTGGCAAGCATGAGGCTGGGAGATACCCAGTACCAAAAAAAAAAAAAACTTTCTCTTCACAAAACATCAAGCTAAGG